TTCATGTGACTAATTAATATTTAATTGATCTTCATTTAATTGCCTTTTTTTCCCCTTTTTTTTCCTATTAAGAGTAACCAATCTGGACATCTGTAGCCTTGCAATGAATTTGTCAATTAATCTAAGCTACATCATTTTCTGCTGTAGAAACATGTTGTCAAGCATTGGAACAGGCTGCCCAGAGAACTGGTTGAGTCACCATCCCTGGAGGTATTTAAAAGACATATAGATGATGCACTTAGGGACATGGTTTAGTGGTGGACTTGGTAGTGCTGGATTGCTCTTTGAGGTGCTCTTTGAGGTCATTTCCAGTATAATGACTCTATGATTCTATGTTTCATTTTTCCTTTCTGCATGCATTTACATGAAGTGTTCAGACTTAATTCAAACAAGAGTGATGTAGCAAAAAGATATGCCACAGCTGATTCTTCTTATTTTGATAAAGATATTTAATGCCATTTGCAAAACTAGCATTTAAAGTAGTTTTCTTTAGAAGATTGCAGGAAGAGTAACAGGAGACAGAAATCAAGAAGATTCAAATACAACTCTTAATTTGTTTGTTCTAAATTCTTTGTAGATTAGTTTCACTGTGAGACTTAACTATCTCATGATGATGAAAAAGAGATGAGTGCTTAAATGATGCTAGAAGACGTTCACAAAATGCTGCTTTGTCTGGTAGACTCTTAAACTCCTTTGTAAGTTCTGCAGCAGTATACACACACACACAGTAAAATCCTATCAAACTCCTTAGCACCTGTTTTACAAGTAGAGTCTGTCAAAATTGGGTATCTATTCAAAACCATTTCCACTTGTAGGGCTTAATATGTTGACATCCATCACCTAGGGCTCAGGCAAGAAGGAAGTGACCATCCTCCTTTCTTCATCCACTATATCAGACATTCACCCAGATTATGGGAAGGGCAGCTCTGGAAGACTTGTAAAGGACTTGATATCACATCCTTGCCTTACAGTAAGTCACTTGATTGGTGGGCCTTAAACTGTTCAGAGATGAGGGCTCTCATTTTGGTTGTGCTCCTCAAACTTGTGCTCCTTTCTGTTATGATAAGGTGAGTAAAAGCCCAGCAACTCACTGCCATAATTTCCAGAGAAAAGTTATGATCCTAAGAGGTTCTTCACATAGGGCAATTTATCATGCTTCTAAACAGCCACAAAATGGGCATTTTCAGCTTACACGAGTTCACCCATCTCATCTTGCACAGCCTGCGATTTTGCTCCAGGGACATGCAGGGTTAGTGCATTCTGGATAGGAATGTAAATTATGTTTACCTTTTTTGTGCAAGGTTACACCAGACCAACTTTCAGAACAGCAAGTCTTCCTGACTTTATTCAATTCATGGGGAGTAACTGCAATTTGAAGTTTTACTGCTAGTCTGGACATGTTTATGTTATAAGAAAGCGTGATGGTTACTGAGTTTGCATAGTGGTAATAAGGATAGGAAACCCATGCTAACTGAGTGTTATGACCCACTCTACCAGGCAGGAGTAACTTCTGTTTTATTATTAAATCCCTTGGAGTGATTTAAAGTAAAACAATACTAGATGATCAGTGTTTGCAGATATATAGGATTTATTTTAGAACAATTTGGTTGCAAAGGAAGACAGGTATGTAGCTGTTTTGATTGTTATTATCTATAGTAACATGGCAATATAAAGAATAAGGGTATGGCAGAGTAAAACAGATATTTAACCATTTTGGTTGTAGTATAGCCACCCAAGAAAAATGTGTAAGGAAAAAGAAAGAAAAAGAGAGAGAGAAAAGAATAAAGATTCATAGTCACCAGGTAGAAGTCTTCAATGAACTTGGTGTTTGTTGTCCCTGGTGTCTTGGTCCATTGGGGAGTGGTGGGGGAGAGAAGCCCGTGAAACATTCGATGGGTTTATATACCTTCAGAAAGCCCCCTGGTGCCATCCTATGGAGGGAGGGGGGAAACCACTTTTGCAGAGTCTGGAAGCTCTGGTTTTTGCAGTCATTTAGGTTTGGGGAGGGGGTGCTAAGAGGTCTTCTCCAGGGTAGTCGTGGATGTGCACATAGGGGCCTCCTTTGACACAGCCTGGCCCACAGGAGATAAACATCACACACCCGGAGAGTGCCACTGATCTTCTTTAGATAAACATCGCACACACCTAAAAAGCATCACACACCCAAGACTTTGCCCCTAGGGCCTCACAAATCTAACAGCTTGTGGGCTATGACCTCCTCCCTTCAGCAGTATCTTCAATCCCCTGGCAGGTGGCTTGCACAGCTCGCTCCAGTAGCAATGTTTTAAGGCAATTAAAAGAGTCTAGTTCCTCACACTGAGGTGAACAAACATCTTTAAATTGTTTGGATGCTGAGTGCTTGCTTCCTAGTAACTGGCATCTTTAGAAAGAGCTTCCCACTATTCTGGAACAGAGTTCCTTGCAGTCATAGTCATAAACAGTCTGGAGATTTAGACCTAGCAAATCAAGCACTTGTATTTTTAAAAAGGAAACTATTGAAATTCAAAGGGCTGCCTCATAAGAGTTTGGCTTATGACAGCAATATATAAACGTACTAAGAATAATATACAAGTTCATTACAGGCAATTTTTAGCATACAATGGAATAGTCCTGGAAGAACTGAGAAACAAAGTTTTAAATAGATTTGTGTAAAGTGTACTACCTAATACTTGGGGAGTTGTGTTTTGGTGGGTCCCAAAGCGGTGACAAATGTCTTATTGGAAAACAAAGAGTTTTTGACTGGTGAATGAGAATTTTCAGTTATTGACCAGCTATAATATCAAGATTTTTGTTTTATCAGTTGCAATCATCTAAAGCAAAATGCAGTTCTTTCACTGCAGCCAAATAACTAAAGAAGAAACACTATCAGAGACTATTCTTAATATTGGTGAGGCAATTTGCTGCAAGAGTTACCTTGAATTTTTCTTTCCTAAGAGAAGGGGTTTTTTACTGTACTTTTACTGTATGGCTCTCTTTACAGTATGTTTTTAAATATGAAAATAGCCTATCGGATAAAGTGTTTGCAAAAAGTAATTTCTAGAACAGTTTTAAACTGCATTTGCATTGTAGCAAAAGAAGTGCAAGGCATTACAGTGAAAGATATGCTAGAAAATACACATATTTGCATTATTTTGGCTTCTTGTTTAACATTCTTAATCATATTTTTGCCTCACCTGCAAAATCTCATCACACAGTATTTTTACTTGTCAGGAGATTTCTGTGTTTTCTTCCAGAAAGGTGAGATTGTCATTTAGATGTTGTTCTTGAATTTGTTCTGGTTTCCTTTGTTGTACCCAGTTCCTGTATTCTTGAATTTTAATTTCTTGTGAAGTTATTTAGGTTTTCATGAAATTTCAATAAAAGTCAACCTTATGTGGGACACAAGCCATTTTTGAATAGGAATATGAGTGTTGTGAATTCTCATACTACTTTAATGTTACTTGCTTTGTCCCTGCAGGTTTCAACATATTTGCTTCATGAAGAGAAAGCACATAGAAACTTATCTTGCAGTGTCAGCTAAAAGTACTTCTTTTGTTCTGTATCTTGCTGTCTTTGTATTCAGATAAGCATTATTAGTTCAGAGGCATTTAGTTTATGTGGATTAATAAAATTCAGGAAAGGAACTTTCAAATGAATCTTGAAAGCAAGTCAGAGTATGAATCAGACTTACTTAGATGCAAAGAATGTTCTGAAAAGAAACATTACCTTATGTTGATAATAATCAGATGTATGTTGTCCTCCAGCTTATTACAGAGTGAATCTCAGCATTTTGCAGTTAGTGTTCTATAAAAAGAATATTATAAAACTTGATTATCTTGTTTTTACAAACAAAGCAATAAGAACACCCTAGTGTCTTGATGTTTTCCAGTGAGATTTTGCTTTGTTAGTGGGATAAAAGGTTATTGGGCAGCTGTGGCAATACAAAATAGACTAAGCCTGTGTTCCACTACAACATCTGCATATAAATTTATGTGGATTGGGTTGCAGGAGGAATTTTAAAAACAAACAAAAATACAGAAAAATTTGCCCCCAGCCTATTTAGACTCCTTGATGGTAAATAACAATAAAATATATCCAGAATTTTTCCTTACAATTATATTTGTTTTATTTTATAATTTGAGTCAGGTAATTTAATTAGTTATAATTTGAATACATTCTTATGCAACAAAATAAGTAATTCTGTTCCCTATGAAATGCCAACAAAAATAAACTTTGTGGAATACAGGCCAGAGCTGGGTTTCATGGAACCTGAATAGCCTTAGATATGTTCATAGAATGAGCACAGAAAGCCAAAAGTTGTCATATCTATCCCACAAGGTGTTTTGCTTCAGGTCAGCTCCCCTTCAGGGTTATGTGCTATGCCTTTGCACAGACTTACTAGCACGGTGACACAGCAAAGCTTCCAGTCCAGGAGTTGTGCAAAAACAGCTGTGAGATGGGGCAGGTCCCCCCACATGCACATGTAAGACCTGGTCCCTAAAATTTAGGTAGGAAGTGCTAGGTGTTTGAGAAGTATGATGACAGATTAAAATTCAGGTGCCTTTCAAATGCAAAGTGAAATACTTCAGAAGGAATAATTTGAACCATTCTTGCACGCTAGCAGGTCCTGAACTGACAGGGAAAAAAAACAGGTACCAATGTGAGCAACTGAAAGAAAATTTCTGTTCAACATCCATCATTAGTCAAAAACCAATGTGAAGAATATGCATGAAGAATATGAAGGAAAATATGATATTCAACAGATATAAGCCTGTATCATACAGTGTCAGCAGGAAAGCAGAGTACTTTGTACTACTATTCTGTTGTGTTTGCTCAATAATGTAATAAAGATAGCATATGAGTACTTTTCCATGTTTTAAGACTGAGAAATTAGACTGCCTAAGCTTAAAAGTTGTGTGGAATACTGATTTTTTGGTTTGCTTTGTTTAGTTCTCCCTGTTATGAATATCATTCACTCAAAGCATGAAGAAATTAATGTTTGGTTTTTTTCTGCTGCACAGAACCTGAAGCGTGTGGCAGAGACATGGATGGATGAGTTTGCAGAGTACATTTACCAGCGACGGCCTGAGTACAGACATCTCTCAACTGGTGATATCTCTGCCCAGAAGGAGCTGCGCAAGCACCTGAAGTGTAAAGATTTCAAGTGGTTCATGGCTGCAGTGGCTTGGGACGTCCCAAAATATTACCCACCTGTGGAACCTCCACCTGCTGCCTGGGGCGAGGTGAGGAATACACAAATTAGATCAAATTTAAATGAGTCTAATATTTTAGATTGTGGGAAATGAAGATTATTACTTCAGACTTAAGCCAGTGATCAGTAGTGTTATTATAGGAGTTCACAGTGGTTGGAACAATCCCTGAGCTGTCCATTAAAATGAAAAACTCTCATGTCTTAGAACTATCACTGTCTCCTTTATAATTCATTACAATTTTGTGTCTACAGAGCATAAGATGTATGCACAGTGAGGACAAGAATGAGGAAAAGAGTATGTAACACCCATTATTGCATGTCAGAGGAAGATTTTAGGTTCAGAGAATCACCTTAGTAGAAAGCAGATCCAAAGTCAATGCTCGTGGTTTTTTGCATATCTATCTATATACCTCGTCCTGTCCTTACAAGGACAATTGTATGCCGGTGGAGTTAGGTTTACTCTGTTTTGCTCACATGTGCAAGTGTGACAAGTGAGGCCTGGATACTTTTCTTTTAAAAAGACTGATTTTGCTTAGCTGTTGTCTGCATTCTGTAGGTGCTGTCATGACTGAGTACCAGTAGCAGACAAATGCAGTTTCTCCTTTGATGGATGAGGGGAGGGAGAGACCACTAAAGAGAGGCCAGTATTTGAGCATCACTCCAGAGCAGGGGGTGAGCAAACAGCTGGCTGGAACTCTCCACCTGTGATCAAAGATATTCTGCATTCAGACCTCTCTGAAGAGCAGAGCTGTAGCACACTTTGCTTTGACAGTTTGTTTTGTGCAGAAGAAATAAGAACACAAAGAATGCAGGGACAGGAAATTATTTCCTTATCTTCACTGAAAAATTGCTGTGGCCTTTACCCCCGGGAACTACAGTGGCTTCACGCCATGGGAAGGTGGCATGCAGAGGGCTCTTTTCCTCTCAGATCATTAAGATCTATAAAGAAGGCTTTGCTCTTTCAGTGTATTGTGCTACCTTTTTTAAAACAGTAATATCTGTACTGCAAGCTCTAGCCTTCTCTGATTTTGCTGGAGATGTTCTTAGGGCTCTCAGACAATTATCATTCATATTGTAAACCAAAGGATGAAGTTGAAGTTTTGACTAAAACATTTGGTAAGACCAGACACACCCCTGCATTCCCAGTGGTTAAGACTGGACCATAGACTCCTAAATGCTTCTACTATTCTCTATAACTTCCTTTTAAAAAAGCAAATTACCTAATAGTGAGATTTTTAAAATAACTTTCTGTGATAGTAGCAGTCCTTAATTTTTCTTTATAAGCTATCAGTTACAGATGTTCAAAAGAACTTCAATTTATATGTGTCTAACTGTTTGCTACTTCTTGGCAGTAATGAATTCCTTTGTTGTTAAAGTTTCTTCTATCTTTGATGCTGCTGTCCACACTTTGTGAGTTTAATGTGTGCTAGGAAGTAAAGAGTTTATCAGTAGAAGTCAGGCGGGATCAGGTTGCTGTGACTGCTACTGTGATCTTCCTTTACCATCTTCCACATGTGTCCTTAGAGGACCATCATCATGAAATGTGGCAATCCTTAACTCAGTCAAGAGAGGAGGAAATTGTGATTCAGATATTCATTATTTTCACAGCAATATTAATATAATCTTTGCATAAGAACAAGTATTTTTAAAAGTAAATCAAAGTTCGTAGCAGTGATATCAAATCTGTACTTTAAAAGCGCTTATTAAGTTCTTAGGAAGGATGTGAAGACCAAAGACTCTTTTTCCTCTAAAATGTGCTTTCTATAAAACAACAATAAGACAAGTTTCAACCCTACTGCTCTGTTTTCTCCTGAGACTGTCACATTCCTGTGCAGTTTTAATTAATTTGTTGGCACTTGCAAGGAACTTGAAAAAACTTGAAGGTTAATGGCTGTCAGAAGCTGAAAGAGGGAAACAGACTGTAATGTTACTGCTTTGTAAGAGTCAAGCAGCTCTAGAAAACTTGCTGATTATACACAGCAAAAGTCTGTGCCAAGACTGACTGTCATTTAGTACCCTCTCTGCTTCCATTTGGAAATATGTTATATCTGCCAGTCTGAGAAAGGGTAAACAATGAGGTACTCAGACAATTTTGGCTCCAGTATTTTGATATTTAGCTAGTAAAAGCATGTGGTGTGAAAGCAGACAGTCTCATAGACAGCCTCTGCTCCACTCCTCTTTTTTTGCAAATGCATTTGTTTAAAATCTGACTCATACATTTCTTGACAAAATCTGTTTATAATGGAAAAGAAGGACATTTGGAAAAAAAAAGCAATCTTTCTTGCTACTCTTGTCATGGCCTTATCTCTTCTGTGTGTTTGTGCCTTTTGTCCTTTGTAGCTGGCAGGGTGTAGGTTCCCTTGATACTCTGCTCTGCCTTGTAACATCTGAGATATGTGCAGTGAAGCAATGTAACAGTGAATCCAGACAGATTAAGGTTAGTGAGGCTATCAGTTCTGTGTTTGAGTGAGGTAACTGTACTCTTTTCCACAGTGGAAAAAAGAAAAGTTTTCAATTACGTTTTGTTCTTATCCTTTTGAATATATTGGGAAGTGTGCTACCAATTGAAAAACAATAATACCCATCCCATTCTCTTTCTAAGACAGAATTTACTGTGTATTTGAAATCCTAATGAAGTTGAAACAATAGGTGAGAATTAAACACCAACTGTAGGAAGTACTAATGGATGTACAACCTGAGATCCAGCATGAATATATTGTGCAGATATCACAGCTTTCAATGTCTTTAAAAACACATTTTACAGTAAATCAATCATATAATCTCAGACATTGTCATTTATTTTAGATTTCATGAGTCCTATAATCAAAGTGATATGAAATATTTTTCTTTGTTTTACTCAGTCAAAAGGGAGTTATTTAAACTTGGTTTCATTTACTGTTACATAAACTTATTATTCAGTGATTTAATGAGGAAGTGTCTCAGTCACTGCAGCAGTGCTAAGCTATAGGACCTGAAGGTACTCCTTTCTTAGTCCCAAGCTCATGGATTTTACAGAACAATTTTACAGCACTGACATGAAAATGTCCCCTATGAAGTTAAGTCAAGTAGCACATTTGAAAAAAGATGAAAGCCTAAGAACTCACTAACTTCTCTTTTTATTATTTTCTTTTTTTTAAAGTATGTCATCCTCATACCCTTAATGAGTCAATCTCAGCCCACCGAGTGTCACACATCTGTTGTACAAAAGCGATATAACCCCACCCTGCACAGATCGGGTGCTGCACAGCTGGACTGTTCAAATTCTTTCATCAAGATCAGTGTCGCACTGAATAAGAGTCCACTGTTTCTTCAGTGAGGTCTTTGGCAGTGCTTGGCTTCCTTTACCTTTGACTTTTCCTTTTTTATGGCTAACACAAAGGATAAATACTCTAACATTACTATGTATCAGTTGACAAGAGAAAGGGCTCATTCTTCCATGCTTGATCCATTGATGCTGATGGCCCTAGGGTTGTCTGAGAATGTAAGCAGTGCATTAAAACTGGCTCCAAGAGCTGCTCAAACAAAAAATAAGCAACATAAATGAACACTGATAATATCTTCTAAGAACCACAGCCACTTTCTTATTTAAGGGATTAAATCTCTTAAATGGAAAGTATTATATAAACTGATACCATCAAGGTACCTCTCTTGTTGCTGTATTAGAGCACCCTAGGGATTGTCCCAACCCCATCTCCACACTCATCATTCACAGATTACCATACTGAACACAGAGTTGTCTTTAGGTTGCTACACTTTCCCACTTTTTGCTTTTGGCACAGACAGTTTCATGTTATGATGAGCATGCAGGGTAGCTTCCAGAACCCCTGGACTTTCCTCTCCCTGTCCAGCTCACCCCTCCTTTTCCCCAGGAAGGCTGAAGTGTATCTGGGTGATAGCCTGTCTCTGGTGCAGGCAGAGCCAGGACATCACCTACTACCTCAACAGCAAGTGTTGAAGGAACTCATTTGCCTGTGAACAAAGTTGTAGAGTTTTAGAATTATCAAAGAATATTGGTCAGTATAACTGCCGGGTCCTGGGAAGCTGTGTTCTCTCTGCTTCTACCCCTCATCTGTTCTCTGTAAGGACTGCAGTGCCCATGGTCTTAATATCTATGTCCCAAAGTGAGTTAGGATGCCATTTCAAGAACAAAATATGTATAAGGACTTACAGATAGTGTCCTGTGCTTTTTTCAGAATGTGTTTAATTCGGAAACAGCCTTTAATATCACCACTATCTGTTCCTGTTAGTCCATACAGGGTCCTCAAAAGCATGCTTTTCTTGTACATTTATCTGTGTGTACAAATGATGGCATTTAAGGTTAAGCAAATCAGTTTTTTATGTAGCAACTCAATGCCCTACCTGCATGGCTGATAAAATCTGTCTCCTGTTCATCCCCAGCCTCTACAATTGCACAAATATGAATGTTGGAAATGTAAGTATTAGGATCACTAGCTATTTGTTTGCTAGTTGTAACTCATAACCTCAAAAACCCTTAATCCATTGTACTGTGTGACTGGAAACAAGGCACTTTCAATGCATATTGGTGTATACATAAGAAAAAAGCATCTGAGCTTCTGCTTTCCTTCCTTTGTTCATGGAAACATCTCAGGGGATTTGCAGGCTGTGTGGTGCTGATGCTTGGCAGAATGTTCCCTGTGGCTCTGGCTCTGACTTGATCGCTCCGTTCAGTTTCTAGCAACTGCCAAGGCCACACAGAAGCACCAGAGAACAAAAGCACAGACTTGACTGAAATGCCTGTGTTACAAAAAAAAACCAAAAAACAAACAGCGACCCCTCTGCAGCTGAAAGGATGAAACATAAAAAGGATGAGCTGCAACAAACCAGAGGAAAAACTAACTCAAGCAAACCTTTCAGGAGCAGAGGGAAGAGGAGAGGAAATAAAGAACGTGAGATGGATTCCAGCAGTGAAGGAACTAAATGTAGCTTTAGCTCAAGCCTTTTCCAGAAATGGACTGAACACATTTCCTGCACAGTCCAAATGACTGAGAATGGGATGGAGTGATGCCATCAAAACAAAATTATGAAAGCCCTTTAATCCAATAAGTATTCACTGGACATGGAGTGTATTCACCGTCATTTTAAATTCTGAATCACATAAATATACCTCAATTACTAATGGCAATTGTTAGCAGCTCCATTTTAATTAACTTGTTTGCTCTAAGAATAGACCTGATGTATCATTTTATTTTCTATTAGACCAGAGATCTTTATCTCTACAATGGAAATTTAAGTGCATTCAGAAATTATTGAACATTCTCAAAAAAAATTTTACTCGGAGTAGGTATTTCACATGAAACCTTAAAAATATTATATTAAAATCCGTGCCACTCATTATTCTTTCCTGCCTCTTTTTCTGATATGAAAAAGAAGGCAGGGTTGTTGAGAACTAATTACCTTTCATCTTTTTTACCGTGGGGCTTCTCAGTGCCAGGTTTCTGGATCTGGTCGTGTGTATGAACTGCTAGTGTTTTGCCTCATCTTTAGCAATTTTTATTGTATTAAAAAAAGAAAAAATATCCTAGAACTGGGTTTATCCAACTTTTAGAAGAATGCTTCTCTGAGCTCTGGTGAAGGATCAAAGGTCCTTGTAGTCAGTTGCTCAAACTGATGCTCCTCCATCTTTCCCCAGTCTGCTCTTTTCTAGGCTAAACAAATGCAGCTTTTAAAACCTTTCCTGAAGGTGACGGGTTTTACATTTTTTCCACTACTTGTTGATTTCCCATCTGTCTAAATCTTTCTTGATCATGGTGAATAGACTCTATGCCACTCCTCCAGAGTCAGAAAAAGAGCAGAGTAACTCTGGCCTGTGTCTTGTATGCATGAGGATTTCTCCTCCTTGCAATGTTTTGTGCTATGCTGACAAGTTTTCCGTCCTTTGGATGTGAATGAGGTATGCAGTGACAATATTTACATTTGTCTAGCATATTATGGCAACAATAGTGACTTTAAAGTATTTTTCATGAAAAAACCACAAATGCTAACTCAACTGTATCTCCATTCAGCATCTAGCTTTTTTTAAAATAAGAATCAAAGTAGCATCCAGAATGTCAAAATATGCACCTGCTTTATTTATGGAATTTGTGCATGTGTCCATGCTTGTACGTGCACTTTGATTACTCAATCTCTGTTTATCTCATTGACAGGGTAAGTTTTTTTAAGAAATCCTTTTCATTATGGAGGTGTGTAAAGGATTTTGAACTAGATCGACTAAGGTACTCAGAGAAATGTCCATGTATTTGCAAAATAAATCAAGGATTCTGCCTCTTTTTGGTGGCAGTGGGCAACCTACTCCTTTTCAAACCAGTGTTTCAAAGAAAATATACATGGCAGCAGTGGTACATAACTGGTATGATTGATAGTCACAGATTAATTGTTACTCAGTTGCTTCAGTCTCAAGAATGAGATTTTCCTTTTAAGAGTAAGTTACACTGTAGTGTTTGAAGCAGGCATGCAGAAGGAACCTCCATGGGTAAGCATAAGTTCCAGTAAAGATTTGTTAAGTACTTTTTAATTTTATGCACTTCAGGCACTAAGTGACCTTATCTGCAATGGTGTTATTGTGTCAAAGTAAGAGCAAGGACTGGAAGAGGGTGTGCCTGAGTTTTTAATGCGTACTGCTCCAAAGGCTGGGAGAGACTCATACAGAAATCAGTTCCTTCTGCAGCTGATCTCTCTTGCTCTTGTAGGATGGAAGAAGCAGTCAGACCAAGCTTTAAACTACTCAGACTTTTTTTCTCTTAGTTTCTTTGCATGAGCACATTTCTTAAGACCTACCTTTCATTTGTTAAGCAGCATATTTCAAACTTGGCTGCTTCTGAAGCTGCTCCTTAAAAGAGCATTCCAGAACATGGCTTTCTATCCTGTAAAAATAACTCCTACCAGTTTTACATAATTAACAGTGAGTCTCAAGCCCTTCAGAGTTAAACTCCTAACCCCCTAATGTTGGAAGCTCTATTCTGCAGCCCGATATAATGTGAAATGTTGCTGCTTGGTTTTGCAGATTCGAAACGTGGCAGCCAACCTCTGTGTGGACAGTAAACATGGAGCCACAGGGACTGAGCTGAGGCTAGACATCTGTGTGAAGGATGGCTCAGAACGAACGTGGTCACATGAACAGGTATTTTAACAGCAGAAAATCAGGGTAAAATTGTTGCTTCCTTTTTCCAGTTTTTAAACATTTCTCTGGGGGCTTCTCCCTTTCCTAAGGCAAAACAGAGTGTAGAAATAATTTGTGCATTGTTACTGACCTTAATGGCTTTAATGGCTTTTACAAAGTACTCCTTAACAAAACCTCAGAAATTCCAGCTGCCATCTAAGCTGTATATTAGTCTTCATTTCCAAAAGGAATTACAATGCCCAAAGAGCTTTTTGATACCCCATACTCCCTCAATGTGTAATGAAACATGTAGATTTTGGTTCAGTTACCTGAAAGTATTTTAAATATAGTACCTGGGCTTGTAAAGCTCTAGTTTTTGTCTACTTTTATTCTTTCATCTCAATAAGCTCAATAAGTGGTTCTATTTTAAATAAATATGAGGTATAAGCGAGGTAAATGGGGAAAAGCAAGGGGAAAAGCGTTTCAGAAAGACAAGGAATTATAAAGACTCAAAAAAGCTCTTATCTAGGTTGGTTAGGTAGAAAAATATTAGCTCTCAAAAATACGTAGGAAAAGAGCTCTGATTTGTACTCACTGTGAGTGCCATAGGAAAAGACCCACAGGCCATGGGTCTGGCCAATGTGAGCAAAGACAATCTAGATGGAAAGTACAACCTAACCATTTATTAGCAATTTTAGTGAGCGTGCCTTTCACAGCGAAAGGTCCCATATTAGAAAAAAATTTCCAATGCTGAAGAGAAAAATTGACCTGGCAGTCATACATGGCACTTTGTAAAAACTTAAAAGCTCAGGAGAGAGGAGTTCTGAGGGGTATTTGAAGTGCTTAGGTCAAGAAACCATTCTCTGAGAGTACTGAGAAATGCAGGGGGAGAGGTGCATGAAGCTGAGAATCTGAAGGATTATCGCAATTTAGGTAAGTGCCAACATGGCAAAAAAGGAAGTTGCTGAAAGAAGACTTCTTCAGATAGCTACCAAAGATACTGCACAGGGATAGAATGCTAAGACTAGATAAATATAATCCTCGTTTTTTTATGAAAGACATCCAGTAATTCAAGCAGTTAATGGAAGGAAGTTGTATGGCCCAGACTAGACCATCTCAGTGTTCTCCAGCTTTAAAATCTGCGAACGAAAGAAGCTCCAAACCCTCCTCAGGAAGGGAGGGAGGGAGTCCTGAGGCTGCCAGAGATGAGAAAGGAGGGAAGAAAATTGGATGAAAGGGTGAGACAAGGAAAAAAGTTAGCAGAGAAATGGGAAACTTGAAATATCCTTTGAAAGAGTAAGAGCTTGGGTGAAGGGGAAGGGACACAAAGGGAGAAGGATGCTAGGGAGGAATCCGTGTTACAGCGTACTCCAGTGCAGAGACATTTGGGATCAGACTGGATATGGTCTCATTCTATATTAAGAACGAAAAATGACCTCATCAGAATCAATAAGACAAAGCTAGCACGAAGGGAATTCAACCAGCCAGCTCCTCAGATTCCAGAACCAGAGGCAAGAAGCCTCAAGCCCTTCGGTGCTCGACTTGTGCCCCAGGGACAGCACAACTCGTTTCTAACGGGTTGATGGGGAACAGCGCATCCCCTCGCACTGCCGGAGGGCATGGACAGGACTGCCCGGGAGCGCTGCTCCCATGCGGCGGTGCAGTGTCCCAGGGGAGGTGTGCCGAGCCCCGGGCCGGCCGTGCCGGCCGGTTCGGTGCCGATTCCCGGGCCGTCCCGTTCGGTGCCGATTCCCGTGCCAACCATCCCGTCCCGTTCGGTGCCGATTCCCGTGCCAACCATCCCGTCCCGTTCGGTGCTCGGGCGGGGGCGGCGGGCGGCCGCTGCGCGGGCGGCCCGGCAGGGGGCAGCACTGGCCAGCGCAAGGCGCGTCCCCCCGGCCGCTCAGGGACCCGGCGGCGGGTGCGCGTCCCACGCCCAAAGCCATCCTTTCGCTCTTGATTCCTCTCGTTTGCCGCGGGGAGGGGAGGGTGTTGTGTCAAAATCTGTGTTTGTGCAGGTGACAGTTGTTGCAAGTGAAAAAATTCCCTCAAAAGTGTGTTTTAGATTGGTATATTGTGGTGGGCGTTTCTTGAGTGGTTCTCCATACTCAATCCCAATTCCCATCCTGTTAGCGGTGATGTAAGACCATGGTCTAATGAAACATCCACTGAGGAGAAGGAATGTGATCTTCCACTTGCACCACAACAAGCTGTGAAGATTATCTTTGTTAGAGAGTGGGGATAGCTGCCAAACACCTGACCAACCTGAGAGATCTTCTCTTTCACCCTTCTGGAGTTTGTTGCCTACATGAGTTCTGCATATGCGTGTAGAAACTAACAGTATTAATGAAAATATCGAGTATTATATTATCATATTTCAAATAGCATGAATTGACACTGAACTGGACTTGTAACTTCTGGTATAAATTTCCATGGAATTCAGTGGTAAACTCTAGTAGCTTGATGTGACCAGTGCAGCAGGTGTCAGTGCTGCTGCTGCACAGAGATGATCCTTTGTGCCACTTGGTTCATGTCATGTTACCAGGGCAGGAATTAAAAGCTAATAGTCTCAGCCACTGTGCTGGGGGGTGCAGCCATTTGGCAGACCCAAGGAGAGGAAGACAACCTTCCACCCTAGGGCTATACAAACAGGCTGGGCAAACAGCAGTCAAAAGGTTTGTGGGGCTCTTACAGGCTTTCTGGTGAACATGAGATGGGTGGAAAGCGAGGGTGAATGTCACTGTGGTTCCTAGAAGCTTTCCCAAAATTAAGAACCAGAGAGGAAGAAAAGGGGCAGAAGGATGTCAGGGCACTGTGTTCTTCCACCTCTGTCTTTCCAGAGCTAACTTCTGGCTTCAGGGAAAACTGGGGCTCTGCTGGGCTGATAGCCAATAGCAAAGGAAGATGACAGGCATCACTGTGTCCTATCAAGTCCCCAGCCTTGCCAGGGAATAGATGGACAGGCACCATCTCTAACATGGCACAGCAAGTAGCCATGGAGCCTGCCTAGCTCTTTCTTTTCTGCTTGAAGGTATAATTCAAGTCAGAGTCCAGTCTGAAACATGATGTTTCATCTTTGCACAGGGTACATGTTGTCCTCTCAAGTCTAATGCCGTAGTCAGAGCACAATGCCAGCTGACAGACCCCGGCCAGACAGCGAATAATTGAGCAATGTTGTCAGGCTGGAAAGTATTAATGGTATCAAAAGGGCTTTTGTCCTATAGACAGTCCCAAGCCAGTGGCTGTATCAGGCAATCATTCTTCAGGCCCTGTGCCAATTATAAGTGAAGCTGGAAAGCTGTATTTTCCCCAGTTACTGCATGACAGGGCTAGGCTACATGAAAAGGCAAAGCATAAGGGCCAAAAGGTTGCTTGATTGCAAATGCAGAGGATAGTGCCGTGTTTTACAGACTCTGATATGAGAGAAGGCAAAGGAGGAGAATGAGCATCCACTGAGCCAGGACACAGGGTTTCTTGGGTCCAGCAGGGAGCAGTTAACAGCAGCCCTGTGTGTTGCAGGTGAAGAATCAACCTGCTGTTTGTTAATAATGTGCCTGGGAATTTAGGTGCAGCCTTGTTTCAAATCAACAAGCAGTCAGAAATGAATGAAGTACAAAAAGAGTACAAAAGGGTTCAGCCATTTATTGTAAAATCTGACACAGTTGGTTCCTAACAAAGGAACAACAAAATCCAAAGTGACAAGTGGTGGCAAAGCAGAGCGTTATATACTCAGGGCTCCAGCTAATAACATGTAGCATTGTTGCACATTATGCAGTGGAGAGATAATATTTATATTGGCCAGATTCAGTGTTAACTAGAGAAAAATTGCTGTTTAAAGTAGGATAGCTTAGATTTATGAGATTGGAAGGACTGTAGGCCTTCATATTTTGTCTGTAATTGCAACATCTTAATATCAATTGGGTGTATAGAGAAGTATAACTTTTTTTCTGCTCATTTTTTTCTCTTCTCTCTCTTAGTCCTAAAACTGAGTTCCTGTCCCTAACAAGGTTGGTTTTATAATAGTATCACTAGGAGGAAGACATACTTGTTTATTTAAAAATAAAACTGTTTTAAAAAACAGAAGGCTAAAGAAGAAGGAAAAAGAATCTGTCCTAGTCTAAATATTGAGATCTAGTATGCACAGATCCTGGTTTTCGGTGGAAGGGAATAAAAAACACCATTGTGTTACCATGTCTTGACTTGCAAACAGGACACAGCCCTGATAGCCTTCAGAAACCACACAGGAGTGGAAAGAGCAAAGGTATAATCTAGATCAGAATGATCTGATTTAAAGGCTAGCTCATGCTCTTTCATGTGTACTGATGCATTCAGTGGGTAGTAGTCCTCAAGCCAAGGTCCAGAGAGCAGCAAGAATTGGCCCCTCAGCTCACCAGTCCTGTACAGAATGAGAAATTTGGAGAGCCACTCACTATGAAAGATGAGGATGGTCCTGCAATAGGATCTCTCTCTAACTGTAGTGATGAGAGTGAGAATATCGCAGAACTACTGTTCCATACCATTCATCGAAGTATTTGTTATTCATCACTTTCAGCTGTAGGTATATTACATGTCTGTTAAAAGATAAAGGATAAGATAAAGAAAATGGATTCTGTAGTTTTTTAATTAAAGGAAAATTGTCTCAGGCATCTCTTTTTCAAAAGAAACAGCAGCATAGTTTTTTCTGTGCCAAATCTTAGCTTCTGTCTTTGCTTGTGAAATGATAAGTTATCGTTGTAGGAGGTCCATAATGCTTCCTCAAAGAAATATAAAGAAAAGTGGAAATAGATTTAACCTTTTGAAAAGCAGAAATTGCTTTGAAAATAAAGTTAAGGCTGTCCACTGCATTTTACTGCAGATGAATGTAAAACGCATTCTGGGAGAAAGAAGAAATAAGCAAGACACAGGGGCAGATTAAGAAAACACACTCTAGGAAACCTATAATACAGAAGAAATAGGGAGTAACAGAAATAGCAGCTCACAGAGAGAACAAGGGCTTACAATAAGAAACACAACAAAAAAGGAAAATATTCAGATATATGCTTGTATTTTGGGCCTGCAGGCCAAGAGAGACAGTAACACCTCTCAAATGTGGTATTTGGATGATGGTACAGCATTGAAGGTGCAGAATTTTTAAAAGTTGTATCTTTTAGGAAGACCATGGAAAGAAGATAACCATAGCAATGAAAGGGTTAAAACCTGGGAACTACCACATAATGATTCAGACCCATGTGATATTAAGCTTCAATTTATAGCTGTTTCCATCAGGGAATGTACACATTACAGGGTGTAGGATGCTAGATGAGGACGAAAGGGACCCTGAGAGGGGGTGCTGGAGGAAGTCTGAGCTCAGTATGGGGAGCTGCTTCTCCGGACAAAAAGCTTGCATGCAGTTCCACATGAACCGTCTCAGCTAAAGAGTTTCTACTAGCAAAGTTTGCTCATTTAAAGAGGATGTCACTTTCTCAGCGTTACATTTTTATTTTTTTTCCTACAGAAAATCAAAAGTCATGTAGAAAGCCAAAGAATAGCACTCACACAAAAGGGAAAAAAAAAAGGAAAGAAAATAAAAGAAAAGAACCTCACAGCTCTTGGCAGAGTTTCTAGGTAGTAATTTACAACCTGAAGCCTCTTTTCTGCAAGAATTGGTCCATGGGAAAGGAAAATTCACTCCACATCTTTAAACTTGATGCTGTCAGACCTGTCACCTTCATCTGATGATTGAAAGACTGCAGTGTCACAGCATCACTTCAGACGGCTGCTGTCTAATTGAGAAGGATTCCTCTATTAACTGTGACCCTCCATGACTCCTCTCAGGCAGTGAGAAAAGGGATTTTGACAAGCTGCCTGTAGCTCACAGGTTTCACAGTGGAAAGATTAAGATCATTTAACATGTGTTGTTTCGGGGGAAAAAAGACAGTCAAGAGGTTATAGTAACAGTGTCCTATATAAACAAAAGGAAACTGTTCACTGAACATAGGAAAGATGCTGTGATGGGAAGATATCTCTAGGCACCTTCTTCAGACCCAAATGAGAGCTAAAGGAACATCACTGGCAGAAGCTTTCTGAGTCTTAGGCAGCTGAAGTCCTAGAGCATACAAATACTGCTTTAACCAGGGTAACTAAAGGCTTTAATACAGCATATCCCCTCTCCTCTCCACAGTACTGTGTCACCAGAGATTCTTTCCTTCCCTGACACAGGGATTGAGCCTTCCTGGGGTATATTCCACATCACTGCTGATGCACTATAATTGAGGTAGTTGGCATCACTGAATTGTACACAGGCAGGATCTTGGTTAACCAGCACCTAGAGTGTGTGAAAAGGAAATCATGCATCAAGCTTTTTGTGTTGTTTTAAATGTTTTTCACTATTAATATATCATTATATTGCCTGTCTGTTTTTCTAGCTCTTCACCTTTGGTTGGAGAGAAGACATCCGCCCTGGGGAGCCACTTCACACCAGGAAGTTCTGCTTCGATGCCATTTCGCACAGTAGCCCTGTCACACTGTATGATTGTCATGGGATGAAGGGAAACCAGCACTGGAGCTATAGGAAGGTCAGAGTCACTGTGGGGCATCTCAGAGGCTCAGACTGTCTTGAACGTATATTCAGTTTAGCACAGGCTTGTGTTTTCCCATCAGAGAAGTTTGTTTTAAAATCCACCCCGTCCTATTCCAATTTAATTTTGAGGTAATCTCTCTAGAATATGTTCCTTTCGAACATTCTGCTATTTAGGTCAAATTTAAATGAAAATGGATGTGATCCAGATCAGAGGGTGTCTGTGTTGGATCTGTTCCCTGAAAGGTGTTTTACCATTCTGGCGCTTCAAGTTACTTGTGTCATTTTAACAGAGGCACTGTTGGAAATATTTTCATCCAATGTTACAGCAGCAAGAAATGCTGCTCATGAGTTAAATGTTATTATTTTACTTCATTTTCAAGATTACAAGTGGCAGAAAAATCTCCCTCAAAAAAAACCAACAAAAAACCAACAAAAAACCCCCCAATCCAACATTAAAAGCAGAGCTGTAAGCCCAAAGAAGGCAGGAGTTTATAAACTAAAGATAAGCAGCTTAGACACTACTTTGATCTGCTGAGTTTCAGCCCGTTTTTATAAATCACTGGAAACAGGAGGTCAAGCTAGAAACTGTCAGAGCCTCATTTATGCTAAAGTCCTGGTAATGCTCTTGAGTTGTTGTTGTTGTTAGGTTTTTTTAATGGTTAATCAGCAAGTTGCCTTGATTAAAGATTTTGCTAATAAGCTCTGTATTCCATTCAGGATAAGGATATACATTTATCTGAAGCACTGAGGATTCCTCTCACACATGCTTCAGTTTTCTTTGACCATTGTGCCTTGCCCTCCACCTTGCTTAAGCTGAGGGCAAAGTGCCAGGAATTGGTCTTTTCCAGATAAACCTCAATACTGCTTTCTAGTTGAAAGTATATATAGTAGAAAACTGATTCAGAACCATTAAAACAGGTTTGCCCTGACCCTTTTTCTGAGTGCCTACTTATTACAGACACTGTACCTTTTTACCTTATTTATGTTGCAAGTGGAGGACTACCACAAGATTTTCTAGAAATGTAATCCCTTTGAAACTGAAATATTACCTGTAAAAAAACTAGAATGTATGTGCCAGATATTTAGAGGAGATAAGCTGTGATGGCTGTATTGCTGCCTCTCTGACATTATAATGCCATAATAATACCTTCTTGCTTCAAAACCCTTCTGATTTATCTTTTTATCTACCGGAGCTGCAAGAAAGCAGCTTTCATACATTTAACACTTCATTGTTGCTTAATATAGCCAGTCTATAAGACAAAATGTGGGTCTGGAGCTGCCCTCTATAAGGCGCATCACCTTTGAGGAGGACAGAATATAGTAGATAACTAAAAAAAAATGACATTTGAAAAAAATATGCAGTGTGAGTTCTATTAAATTCTCTGTACAGCTTCCTTTCTAATTTATAGAAGGTTGACAGGGCTTATATAAAAATTCTCAATGCAAGACAGGCATTTCCATCTCAGCAAGAAACACTGTAAAGTTTTGTTATGGTAGAAGTACTGGCACAGTCTTAACTATAATACAAACCTTCAGTTTGCATAAACCTTCAAATTAGGAAACTGCATTGGAATAATAGAAATACGTATACATGGTTTTCTTTAGGCTTAGTTTTTGTTTGGCTACACCATAGGTAGTTTCCCATGGTCTATTTCCTCAGATACAGGGTAGATTTATTTTAGAGACTTTTGGTAGTATATCTATGCCTCCAAAATCGTAATGATATAATCCTTACCTAGTTTTGAAAGCATCTTGGTAATAGGATTTTGGGTGTTCTCCCCACAAACAAACAAAAAACGTACAAGAAAAGGATGTTATATTGTTTAACTGCATCTGTACTAGAGCCCTTTACCTAGAGGATGGTATGCTACTAAATCTGCACCCTATAAGAATAATAGTCTGGTTAAGCAAGAAGTGTGTCTTTTTAAAAAAACAGAGGGAAGGTCAGCAGCTCTCTTTTGTTCTCTGCACCGCTTACAGACACTGAAGCTTCCTAATGGTAATGTACCCATCCTGCCAGTAATTCTCATGCTTTAGGAAAAATGACCGTGCTTGTCAGTGTCTTATAACATGCTTAATGTGAAGCATTTCTTACCACGTTGCCATAGTACTTCTATAAAACTAGAAAATAAGAGTTTAAAGATGAGACTTTTCTCATGATCCTTTGCATCCTTGAGCCAATGGTTAGAAGTTAGGGCTGTGAAGTGATTACAAAGTGCTGCAAATGTAATTTGAAGCCAGGCACTGTTTTCAGATTCTGTATTCTTATAGCATAAAAACCATAACAACCTGGGTTTGGATACTGGCAAATAAAAACAGCTTGAATATTTCAGTGGCAAATAGAATACCTTAGTATTTTACGTTGGGTAAGGATTGGTCTTCTGACAAAAATTTAGAGCTTAGGCCCATTACAGGCACTTTGCTTCTCATTGCAGTGCAGTCGCAGTGTTCAAACCGCATTCTTTTCAGATGAATGAAATCAAAACCACCACTAATAAAGATGTGTCAAAAAACTGTTCGTATTCCCATACTGTTTGAACTACATCTGAGTAGCTATTTGAAATTCTACTAAGTTTGAGATATTAAGTAATCAATTTTCTTAGGACTAATCCAAAATACTGGTCTATAGCCAAATATACCTTTAAGAAAAGCCTGTAAGAAGAAGAAGAAAGCCAAGTAGCACTGCAAACATTGCTATGGGTTGCAAGTAGAAGAATAGAATTTAATACCAGGAAAAAAAATATTGAAACCATATTGGAGCAATGTAAGAAATTAGGTAGATAAATGTAAATAACCTGTAATTACTAGTGATTTGGGAGAATGGCTTTAGCTTCCCAAGCCTAAAGCCATTTTCTTGAATCTGTTTGAGACTCCCAAGCATGCCAAGCCAATGATCAGTAGTGCCTACAAATTTCTGTTCCTCACAATGAAGGAGTACGCCTCTGGTTTTCAATGTAGCATCATTCTGGGCTGACAGGTAATACATTGGTTCTGATAAAGTATGATTCAATTTATGTGCCGTAGGCCCACTAGTGCTATTTGTAGAGCACAAGTATCCAAGAGAGGACTGATTTAGTAGGTCTTTAAAAAGGAACTATTGTGCAAAATCAATTACACCATAATTTTACCCTGAGTCTAGTGCTTATGATAGATGCTAAACTGACAATGTCAAAAACTGTGCCCAGAAGACAGTGGTTTGCTCATAGTCTCCTGACAGCTTCAGGGACAAACTGTAAGAATAAGTTCACTCTTGACACAGTAGGTGCTTAGATTATTTCTTCAGACAGCTGAAGACATGTCATTGTGATAGTACCTTTTATAATATGGGCATCTGTCCTGCTGAAACTGCACTGGGGCTACCAACTAATTTCAGATAAACTACTGCAGCCACCAGCTGATAATGACTTCCAGTTGCTCTTGAGATTGGCTATAGTTACAGCAGTGACCTAGAAGAAATGAAAGGCTCTGTGTCTCATTACCAACCCCCTGAACTGTCAAGACCCATTATCTTATGGAGGAGTTCCTCCTTCTGCAAATAATCTTCAGGCTAGCCATCATGCAGAAGGAAAAAAAAAATCCCTCTGCTGTTTTCAGATGTCAGCAATGTCTCCAAAATAGCGTTTGTGGTTTCTCAGTATTGGTGTAAAGAGGAATTTATGTATTTCTCTTGTAAAGTTCTTTGCTAGGGTTCATGCAACTGTGACTCCTTAAAGTCCTGAGCCTGTTTCTGTAAGAGCAGTAGGCTTTGACCTTAGGTCAGCATAAGCTTGAGATTATAAATTAATAGGCCTTTATATATAGCTAAGTCAGCCAGAAGTTTTTCCAGAGTGGTAACTCTGTCCCTATTCTTAAAAGACACTCTTCTCTCCTAATAGCCAGACTCTGAAAGAAAGCACAATACTTCACTCAAAAATTGCATCCCTGGGATATTTCTGTGAGAAGAAAAACTGCCCGCTTTCTGGAAAGGCTGGAGTGTTTTTCATAGCAAACTTTTTGTGCCGAAGCTGTTTCCTTTCTTCTTGTACCAGCTATCTTATTAAAGCTTCTAGTATTCCAACTTTGGCCTCCTAATAGCTTGGCTGACCTTCACGCCCAGCTATAATGCAAGGAAAACCAGATGCCCCCTTCCTCCAGGGCCCCACATCAGGCCAAGTGGCCATGGCACAGTCACTGTGTCCTGACTTTGGGCAGTGCCACTCCATCAATCTCTTTTTAGAAGACAGGAGGACCTGGCAAGGTGCAGATAGGTGCCTGTACCACCCCATAGGGTGCTTGGGAGTTCTTGCAGGCCCACCTCCTAGTAGGGACACAATAGTCCTTGGTACACATTACAGTTACCCCCTTCTTGCAAGCTAAAGTATCCTCCCTGCTTGCTTTGTAGAATATGAGGGAAAGGCCTCTACTCATTTGATTTAGTCCTGTCAGCTGTGATGGTATCCCTCTGAATTACAGTGTTGGGTGTGGGTGTGTGGGTCTGTGTGTTCAACCACTGTTTTTGGGGAAGGGCAGATGCTAGAAGGAAAAAGTGGAGTTTGTGAAAGGCAGATCTAACACCATCACCCACAGCCAGAGAACAAGATGCTTTTGCCTTTGTTCTTTCTTGCATATATTAATTATGAAAAGAGGCATTGTACTTTACCAGAGTTTCACAACCCCCAAAATCAATCAATTTCATCTTTCCTAAATTAAAAAAAAAAAAACTTTCTTTTTCAAACTGGTTTTAAATAGCTGCTATTTCTTTTTGTCTTCATACTTTTTTTTTTTTGGAACGTAGGCTATTTGTAGTTAAAGAGAAGTTTCCGTGATTGTTGCTCAGCACCCACAGCAGTTGTGTGAGTTTTTAATCAATTTCAATTTGACAAGTAGATCTTTTTTCCCTTTCGCAAACTAGGCAAGCAGGCACATCTTGGATTAGTATTAAAATACTAATCAGGGCATGTTTGGTGTGGAGGGGAAAAGCTTGGATGTGGTTTACCAAGAGTAATCTGAAATTTATTTCAACAGATGCAGTATAGTCCCTGGAAACTTTCAAACCATTTAATCACTCCCGCATCTGTCTCTCTCAAAACACTTGCTATATGAACTAAGTATGTTGAAACTACCCAACTCACACTACCAGCTGTTCAACTGAATAGTTTCTGCTTTAACAAAGATTCACAGTCAGGTTATGTAACATTCACTCTAGTTTATTAAGTAAAATTAATAAAACTAATCATCATAAATATGCTTTTTAAAGCAACTTAATCCATGCTTACCCTCCCAAAATCTCCATATGGAGCTAAATCAGTATTATGATTTCCATCTTATTAGGAGAGAGAGCATTTCAGTGGCTGGTCTTATCGAGGCCAAGTCTGCATTGCATGGGGTGAGAACTGAGAACATCATTCCTGTGTCCATCTGTCCACCACTTCAGTTAATAATTCATTTTTAACGTCTTCACCAAGTTGAAGATTGTTACAGCTCCTCCTGCCCAGAAACATGCAACTGTCAAGAATAAATCTAAAAAAACCACCCAAAAACACTTCAGACATTTAAATGGGCTCCAGGCAAATACATGATGTGCAAAGATGTTAGAGACATTCTATTTTTTCATTATATTATGCAGTTTTTAGTAAAAGACCAGATGATGTCTCCTCCTTCTTTCTTGAACTCCCAGTTTTATGAAGGATGATAACCCAAGGGAAGAAAACACTCCATTGTCTACAGCTTCCTAATAATAGATGTGATTATTACACAGGGTTAGTGCACAGAGACCACAAAATCATTTCATATAGGGCTGTGTTAATCAATGTGAATACTTCCAATGCTTTGGCATTTGCTACCTAATTCTGTTTTTTTTCATTCCTCTAGGACAAAACTTTATTCCATCCGGTAAGCAGCAGCTGCATAGATTGCAACCCAGCTGAGAAGAAGATTTTCATGAGCAGATGCGATCCTTTATCTGAAACTCAACAGTGGATTTTTGAACATATTAATATGACTGTTTTAGAAAAATTTAACAGCAAGGCCAGTTCCTAGAAAGAAAAAAAAAAGAGAAAAAATGAACACACCTATTTACGTACAGACTGCAGACTACGTTTTCGCCAGCATCTGGGTCAAAGGAGTCAGGAATTAAGTTTCCTAGATCCAGGAAATCTGTTCTGAGGATTAAGAAAATGCCACAGCAAGAGCCAGCAGGCTGTCCTTGTGGATGTACAGTATCTGGAGAACTTGGCCAAGAGCCTCACCGGATGCTGCTGAGAACTTCAGGCTGAAAATTCCCTTGCTGGTCAAGGGAAAAACTTTGTTTAAAAACTGTTTAAAAGTACTCCAAGTTAATAAAGTAAAACAAAACTCTAGTTTCTCAGGTCAAATCCTGCTGTAGTGAGTAGCTCAGAACAGGCGCTATAATTTGGGATGGGTATATGGTGTGCATGACAGCTACAGGAACCTGAAGAAATCCCAGGTTTTAGAACTAAACATGCTAGTGGAAGAATAATGATGTCCCAGCACTCCCTAAACAAGATATATGCTCTGTTGACATTCTCTTAATAAAAAGTTGGGTTAAGCAGGTTTAACCCTCAGAACTGCTGCAATTAATTTTAAATACCTCCCTTTTACATTCCATTCATTACCAAAATAGGAATGGTAGAAATTTTAGGGTCTAGAATTACACTGTAGTGAAGCATGGAATAAACTGTAAGGTTTTGCTCTCATATTTTCCCCTTCAGGAAAAAAAGTAAAGCAATCAAATCTCTATATATGATATATTTAGCCATTGTGATTCAAATCCCATTGTCACATAAGGTGAGAGGGTTTTTTAAGTGACAAATATAACAGCAGCAGCTGCAGCATAGTGGAAGGCTTGTGGACTAGCTATCTTTTCTAAAGGTAGAATCCTTGCCAACGTATAAATTAAATTGAAAATAGGCTGGGAAAAAAAATCGGGAGAGTAGGAAATAATTGCATACTGCATGCTGAACTAGATTAGTCAAATTAACAATGGTATGTTGCCATCACCTAAAAGTATGTTGACTCCCTGCAGTGCAACTTGAAAGATCTTGCAGTGCTCTTGACAGATAGGAATGGAGAGAAAAATTGACATGAAATCAGTTAGGTGGTTTCAAAGTTTTTGAAATCTGTGATGGAAATCATGTGAACTTTGCAGAGTTAGCAAGTGAATGGTATTGTAGATATCAGGAGGGAGGAAACTAGATGTGCAAACAAGTTAAATGTTGCAATATTTTGACACTTTAGGCACAGGCACAATTCACGGTAACACAGACTTCTGTCACCCAGATGATCATTATGGTGTCTCTCAGACTCATCAAGCCATTGGAGTGAGAGGCCTCTCAAACTTCTTTGGGAGGGTGTCTGTGGTTCTCCTCAGTTAATACTGATGTGTGGAACATGACTAATAGCTTTGAGATTGTTCAAGGTAAGAGCAAGTATAAATTTATATCAAATATGTGGCCTGCTTTTACTTGAAAGATGAATTCACAGATGAAAGCACCATAAATGCAGATAGATCACATGCTCTGTGCTGTAACTCCTTTCAGGTTCCAAATATAACATTTATAGTTAAGTTGCTTATTCTGATTGCTGAAGAGGTGGCCGACTAACCAAAATACTGATGTGCAATCTACACTGTTTTGAGGGAGTGGAGTGACTGTTTTGTTTATTTCTCTTTAAGCTGTGTTTATGCACAAGAGCATTGATTGCATCCAGAGGATGGTTCTAATACCAATAACTGTGCTATTTTATGGCAGCACCTTGTAGTTGCAGGTCATAGGAAATTTTTAGGAGGGAAATGAGATCGTGTAGCATTCAAGATGCATGCACTTGGAAAATTGTGAAATGCGTCCATGTATTTAGCAATTGCTGCAAGTTAGTGAAGAAATCTTTCAAATAATTTGAAAGAAAAATATCTACAGAGATAAATTTCTCATTTTATAATTTTAAAATAAGTGAGATTGTTCAAGTATTGTTTAAATTTGATTTGAAGATATGGTGCACTCGGGAACAGAAGCAGTAATGCTGCGGTGTGCGGATACTTCAGATTTGTTTAGCCATCAGTACACAGAACCAGTCTAGCAATGCAAACTGTCAGCCTTTCCAGGTGCAGTGCTCACAGCAGCATATATTTGCAGCTTGAACATGAAGAAAGACGGTTTGGGAAAAAGAAGAAAATGGCTGCCTCAAATGCAAATGCAGCCCTCAAGCTGCTGATTGTTACTGGCCCCAAACTGTCAAAGTCCTGGAAGCAACACTGTATGCCCAAAATAGAGAGGCAAAGGTTGGATTGCTAAACCGGAACAGATTGGTAGGGTTATATCATTCAGTGTCTGACTGCATCTCAGTGGTCTGATTTTGAGATGTCTAATGGGAACTAGACTGCTGTTGGGGCAAAGAACTTCTGTGCCTTTTACAGCCCTCGTTGAGTAATATTGCACAGTGCCTTGCACTGCCAAAGGAAACCTTCCCCTTACTTGTAGCTGATCTCTGCTTGTAAACTCTAGCAGTCCTTGTCAGAAAACATAACTAATTTTCAGGTGTTCTGGGGAAAGATAATAGTCCTTGCACAGGATTCCTGCAACAAAATTTTATTAATAATAAATGATCATCGCTACCTCTCAAATTCTGTCTTGGGTGTTCTCCGAAGGTTTCCACTGTAAGAATATTTCATTACTAATTTATCATTCTGAATTTCTTTGATTCTTTCTACAACCATATCTTTTCCACCCAGCAAACTTATGAACAACTTGGTAGGATGGACAGATGTATCTTCCTCTCTTATTTCAGCAGGAGAATTTAACTCTAATATGTGTTTCTTCAAAAGACTGAAGTTTCTTCCCAAAATTTTTTTTGAATGCCAGATAGTTCTGAACATATTTTAAGTGTAGAGCACAGGCAACATTAAGTAATGTGGGCTCATCATTTCAGTGAAGTTATACTGATTTCCCCAACTAATGACTTGCTTCAGTTTTTTTCAATTCATTACTTTTTAGCTGAGAGGGCTTTAATCAACACGCCTTAAAAGAAGATCTTTGTATTGTAAGAGTTCATCAGCACCTACTCTAAATTTTTTCCAGTTAGAGTTATCTGACCTTTTTTTGTGGCCAGCAAACTACTGTGATAGGATAGAGCAACTGGAAAAGCTGGAATGAACTCCAAGTGCAACTAAAACTCTAAAATCACACATTTCCCTGCATGTATTCTAGAATCTAAACTAAACAGAGGCCTTGAGGGACAGGGCTTAAAGGAGAGAGGAGGAGCTACGAAACAAAATGTTTCATGTGTGGGAGAGCAGCCTTGTTGCAGAGGCATAAGGCATCACTTTTCACTGGCCACAGTCTTATTTCAGAAAAATGAGACTGCTTTAGAACAAATGTTTCTGCAACAGTATGGATATTTTCATGATAATAATGCATTATTCCTGGGTTTCATCTGTTTATGAATAAATGGTCTGTAGCTGCTGAACTAAGTCTGCCTCACGATAAAGATAGACTAAGTTTGAAAGGAAGCTGACAACCACTTAACAACCTTTGATTACTGGCTATTTACCAGGCATCAATGTCTCCATGACCTCAGTGAAATCAGATGCCACAGAAGATCATAGAAGAATAGTATATAAATAGCTTGACCAAATTGATTAGATGGGTTGCACTTCTGCAAGAGTGGATGTTACCTTTGTTTAAAAAAACAAACTCATAATCACAATTTATTTGCATTTTTACTGATAATTTCTGCAAGGGAGTGAGTGAGAGGGACTGTTTTAACCTACCCAGATGGACTGGGGATGGAGCATTTTAGGAAGGCAGCACTGGGAGGCTTTCAGTGTGGCTGACAGCAGGGGTGCATCCATTTTCTATTTAAAGAGCATCTATAATGCTGTTAACCTAGCATTTTTTGAAAGAATGCAGGATGTACATTAAAAAAAAAAAAGATAATTATTTTATTTTTCTTTTTAATCCATCAAGGTAGTTTGGGAAATAATTTCAAAACCTTTGAAAACAGAAGAGGCTGATCAGAAGTAACTTTTATTATAGCTGGTATTAGTATTATAATGTTCATTAATTCATTTGTTTAACCCCCTTCCAAATCCATTTCATATCATGTTAGAAAGAGCACAAGAGTCCAAGAGTGCTTTTACATAATGTTTTCAGGATCTTACCCTGTCTGAAAGTTTTGAAAGGCCTTTTAAAAATTAGCAAATATAAACCAAATGGTAACAAGGAAAAACACTAGGCTATTATGTCTAGTCTACCAAAATATTTTGCTAAACTTGTGCAAAAATAATATATTTTAACTGGAAATTTTTAGATTAATAAGTAATATAGTTTAGTAAGTCTTTAGTGTGTAGTGCTTTCTATCGAAGAATTTTAATTTTAAAAATAATGAATTTGTGCGGTTAGTTGCTGACAGAGTTTTTTTAACCACATTTAATACATAAATCTGTCCTGAGGTCTCCTGTAATCTCATATTTCCTTTTCATAATTCCTAATGCACTGAATTTAAGAAAATGTGAACATAGGAAAAAAAACTCAAAAAAGTAGGAAACTTGTGTAAAAACAAATAGTGAGAATGTGTAGCTAGAGATGTTGAGAAAAATGCATCACATTTCCAAAGCTTCAGCTGCATTCGGAAAATACATGTGCTTTGTGTGGTGGCTTTCTATTCTTTCAGTGTATCATTAATATTAGTGCTACTACTCCTGAGGCAGGCCTTCTGAAAATGGTGTTGCTAGCATTTGGTACAATAGGTGGACAGCATGGTGCTAGAGGAAAAAATCTAGGAACCGCTCCTGAAAAAATTGCATTCAAACATTGCAATCTGATATGCCTTAAGATCTTAGCTGTTTTTGAGATTTCTTTTATCTTAGTATTTTTTTACAGGACCTGGTAGTGCAGTAGGTGCTTCAGTGGCCCTTATGAAAACAATGCAGACAACGGGAACAAAGAGGACACAGGTGATTACCTAAAGGTGTGGTTACTGCAGCAATGTCAAGGTTAATTATACACAAAGAGAAGTTTATTTTGTGTGGCCACTGTAGTAAATGCCCAGCTTAACAGAACAGATGAATGAGAAGGAACCTTGCAAAGTGGGCCAGCAGAAAAGCTTGTAGTCAATAGAAGATGTAGAAAAAGTCCCAATGGTCCATTTAGAGAAGCAGATGAACAGGGTGTTGAGATAGATATCATAGACAGTGTAAGGGATATGAGGGGAGCTGCAAGTGAGGCAAGTCTGGTAAGTAAGGCTACTAACTAAAAGATATTAAGACATAGGAAAGGAAAACTTGGTCCTCATTAACCTTAGCCCTCATTAACCTTGGCAGGATCCCTAACACTTTGTCAAAGTATTAGTTGATTTAATTAAGTTAATCCTTCATCTCTCCCAGTAAATGACTCAACCTGGAAGAAACCACAGTTCAAGCAAATTTCTGTTTACCAGTCTAGAGCATCTAATCGGCAAAATATGCCACTAGCAACAGTTTAGTCAAAAATCTCAACTGGCACTAGAAATAAAACAATATTATCAGACTGAAAGATCAGTAGACCTCTGGCATCCCTCTGTGAAAAAAAGATTTCACTTGCCTAAAGAACTGATTGATGGTAATGATCCTAGATTAAGAAGATCAGGAATTGTGAGCTTTCAAGGAGGTGAAAGGCCAAATGGTGAGATTAGGACTTGGCAGTTTAATTGAGAGAGGAAGGAGGAAATAGGTGGTAAAAGGGAAGAAGCAGGAATCAGGTTTAATTCTGTATATGAAGGAAGTATGACCTACAAAGGTCAGTCACTGATAATTTTGGATATTTCTTCATAGCAGAGCTTGCATGTTTATTTCCATCACAAATATTCAGTAATTGAGAGGCAATAAAGTCCTCTTGCAAGGACTTAAATTTAGAATAGAAACTGGATAATCTGAAATGTATTGATTGTGAAATACATGATGGCAACTAGAGAAAAGCTTTGCTGGACCCCAGGTTTGTTCTGAGTTTTTCACCAAAGGTATGTGTGGACGCTCCTGAGGATACTTTGTGGGTAGTATGTAGAAGCAGAACATTACGGTCACTGTTTTACCTCAGATTAATATCTCTCTATATCTCAGGCTTTTTTGAAAGAGGAAAAGTGTTTAGCTAAATTTTTCAGGAAATGTCAACTCGGATCAGTGCAAAATAGCTCTGCCTACTCCCTGTGTGGATCAAGATAATAAGTGTTTCTCTTCAGACATCAAATACAGCTCTCAAAAAAAAAAAAAAGAATGGTATGGCTCTGCCTTCATGGCTCCTTGCAATTCAGTTATTTTATTTATTTTTTTCCTATTTGGTGTTTCTTCCCTTCTGCTGGCTTCCCATCTGCAGGATTCTGCCAGAATGCTGTTTCTCTTTCTTCCCACCTTTCTGGTTTGTGCCAAAGGTGTTTCTGCTGTTGCAGATCCCCTCCTCAAGATAAAAGTGACTAAAACTGCTTTGATCTTGACTGGGCAGAGCCACAAGCCTTTCTACCTCAGGGTACATGGTTTACAGTGGCTTGTGCTAACAGTGGGATAGGGAGGAGAAATGCATTTGAGAAGTTCTGTCCTTATGGGCCAGTCTCACTACAGATTTCGTTCATGGAAAAGTTGTAGCTCATAGCACAGAGAGTCAAACATCCTTGAGGGAGAAAACTGCATTGGTGATCTACTTTCTCACCCATCTTCAATATTCAGAACTGCCCAGAGAAGGATGTAAGAACAGGAAGCATCTTAGTCAGTGGATATAGTTTGTACTAATGTATAGAAGCAGCCAAACTTAGTCTGGACATCAGGTTTTCATCTTTTGATTATCCATATTGAGCTAACATAGATACAAGAAACTGAGCAGAATTATATTAAATTGTGGTTTGTGAAAGCCACCAAGGGATTATAATAACTTTAACTGAAGGCATTATTGCAAATCTAAAATGGATGCATAAT